ATTAGGGTTTATATAAGTAGTAAAGCCCTCTTAATATAAGGAGACTTTCTAAAGCTAAAATAAATAGTATTAAAGTGTATACTATACTATAAGACTATAGTTCGGTCTATTTACTAAAAAATCGATAGTAATTATTTATTAGTATAGGGGTAAGCTAAAAAGGATAGTATTATTTAAGTAAATATAAAGCTCTCTAATATTCTAAATAAATAAGTAAAGACCTAAATATAAGGACTTAGTATAGGAATAGGGTTTAGCCTATACTAACTATATACTACTACGCGATTTAATAATACTAGCTATGAATAGAAGTGAGGCAGGTATAGAGCCCGAGGACTTGACTCTATATCGATATCTCTAATAATTACTCTAACCGGGTCTCTTACATACTGGGCACCCCTCACGAATCTTATGTTTCATCAGCCGCGCATGCGTCACCTTAGGTCCAACACGCCACCCATGGCCAGGTCGATCAGCCACATCAGCACCCAAGTCCACCTCCTGCTTCTTTCCGGGGTATAGAGCATCTAACAAATGCGATAAATGAAAAACATGGCTGCACGCGAACCCAATTAAGGTCTCCATCTCAAAGTCCGTGAAAGCCTCTTGACATTGAGCACAGTGGCCTGGGTTGGGAGGTCCTTGGAACTTGGCATGGACTGGCGGCTGATCATCCCTTCCCGTCATGTGATCGTCCTTAAGCGCTTGCTCAACCTCCTCGGCCTTGACAGGTGGTGCTGCTACCTCTTGCACAGACAGATCGACATGATCTTGTCCCTGTACTTCAACCTCGAATTTGATGCCCTTGCGTTGGCCGATGCGTAATTCATTCTGCGCTGCGGCAACCTCACTGCGGAGGACACGCGCGACGCCTGAGCTGATGCTGAATTGAATCTCGTGCTCCTTCATAATATGAGCAAGACCTTCGCGCAACCCTTCGATTTCGAGGCCTTCGGGAATTCGTCGAACTAGCGTGATCGGATTGATGGATGTGCCGACTTGTTCCAGAAGTCCACGAATGAACTTTGGCTTGTCCATACTGTAATCAAGCAAATCACTCCACAGGTCGGGGTCGTCCTGTTCCTTGGCGAATTCAATTGCTTTCTTGACGTTCTTGAGCCGGTCGATAATGAGAAACAGCGCACGTTTCATTTGACCTGTTTTGGAATATAAATAGACCAACTCGTCGTCATATCGATACCGCTCACATTCTTGTGCCGCCTATTTTGATTAATCCTTAAGCATCGTCATTGTTTGATAGGGTTGACAAAACTTACTTTCTCGAATGCATACGAAGTGGATGAGCGAAGGAAGTCCATGAGGATCGATCGGTCATACTTGGCAAAAAGCTGAACTGCTTTATCGGCAAAGTCGTCCACCAAATACTTGCTCTCTTGCTGTAGTCTTTCACGATTCTCGCCGGTATGTTCCTCGATGCCTTCACCCTTGTACAGGCCCCGCAGGTAGAAGTAAAGGAAAAGAGTGAGATCTCTTTCCTCAAGTTGTGCGACTACGGTTGCTGGCCGGACAAGTCCGTGCTGTGCTTCGTCGACAAGTAGTGTGATGGCCTCAGATGTAGCTTCCTCAAGATCAAACTCACTCATCTTGTTGAGCTCGTGAGAGGGCACCCTTAAGCCGATGAAACTTGGGATATCGTCGACCACGGCATCTGCCAAGTGGTTTTCTCGAATCATCCGGAAGGCCGAGTCCGCGTCCTGTAGCTTGATGTGGCACTTGAGTGATTCCCTGTATCGGCCGTTCAGCTCATGCAGTTTTGCCAGCGACTCCATGACGATGCGCCAATCACGGCCCCTCTCGCCAGCTTCGACACTATCCTCCCTCACATCACGGTACTTGAGTTGATTCTCCAAGGCTGTTGTGACCGTATTGATGTCGAAAAGTTCACTGGGCCATCTGTCGAGCAAGTCTCTGAATCGCACCTTGTCCGCCTGAATGTAGTGGTTCAAGACGACCTCATATATCGCACTAGACAGTGGAGGGTGCATCGACTTCGCAGGAATATGTTGTGCAATATCGTCAAACTTATTGGCGCTTGCGAAATTCCAAACCCACTTCTCCCATCTATCCGATGATCCTAGAACTTTGGCGCAGACTTGGCCCGCTGCCACCCAGTTGCCGGCTTCAACGAGATCTCGGATCCAGAGCTCGCCAATGTGTTGCTTCTCCTTTTGAGCCGTCGAGTTGGCTTGTCTTGCTGCGGTGACTGACTCGACCGCAGACGACGCGTCGTCGAATACTGCTTCTGCGGCCGCGTTGATCTTATCCGGTGTTGGTGGTCCAACCTCGCCAAGCTTGGCAGGTGACGGCGCCATAATATCAGGATTGTCATCCAACAGTTCCCAGGCCTTTTGGTACTGATGATGTTCCAGAAGCCAGTTCAAGTGATCCCCAAGGTCCCGCTTCGTAGCAAGAATACAATCATAGGGGCTGTGAATGAATATTTTAGACCCTGGTTTGAGGAGATTTGGATGTACGGACGGCACTGCCGCGTGTGAAAGTCCCGGTTTCAAACCGCCAGCGTTGCTCGAGCCTCCGTCATTGCTGTTTTTAGACTTGATGCTAACTCCCGAACTGAACAGTGATTTGGGATTGATGGCGGCATTCCACACATCGTTGCCAAAACCGGCTAAGGATTCGAGAGCGCCCTTTGAAGAGGCCACAGCCGAAGCAGCATTGCGAGCAGGGAGCACGCCGAGGTGATAGTCTCCTGACGAAAGCCTCTCGTACCGGCTGACGATGAGGCCATCGTCTTTGTCAACTTCGGATTGTGAAGCCAAATCGATCAGACGCAGCTCAGGTGGCGGATTGTTTTGTCGTCTTCGGATGCCACCTGACGGCTCACTGTTCACTGTCCCTATCGAAGCGGCGGATGAGTGGGATTTGTGGTGTGTTCTCTTTGCTCTGCGTTCTTCCTCGTCGTTGCCATCGTCTTCGCCTTCCGGGTGGCCATAAGCAAGCACCAAGAGGAGATTTTGGCTGTATAGCGATATGCCGGATATGGTACAGTCCATACGGAGACTGGGAGAACCATTAGCACGCCCTCTGAGGTACCATGAATAATAGAACTTACTGTTTGGCGATTTCTGCACGCCCAATAGACTTCTCGCCAGCATTTACGCCAGTACCAATGCCACCAGAGTGTACATGGATTATCCAGATGGTGCCACCCCAGCCAACGATGAGCCGTTCGATCTTCTTGGTGATCAGAATTTGTTGTTGCTGAGAGTTCTCGCCGACTATTGACGGAGCCGCATCCTCACGGCCCGGTTCGTCATCCACTTCGACGGTCTGTTCGTCAATCCACTCGATCCTACCTTTCCAGACACCAGCCATGGCCTCCCACTCGTCTGTTTGCGGTCGATCAACATGTCCAATGCGTTTCCATGCATCATCAGAATCCGTGCTTTGTAGTTGCGAATTACTCCGCATGATTTTGACTCCAGTCTCGTTGAGCCATACGACATATTTACCGGACAAGGACCATTTGATATTGCTCACTGTGCCTTCCCCTGAGTGCAGAACAGTGTCACGGCCAGTATTTGTCCCAAGTCCCATACTACCCAGCCAGCCCGATGCCGCAGCCGCTGCAGTGCCAATTGTTGTCGAGGTACTGCGGCCTGTGGGACCGCCAACAGTGAGTATAAGCTGCCCTGCAGTGCCCCCTGAGAGGTAAGTTCGGTCATTTCTGTAGTCCGGAGAGATGGCGACCGCCTGCACAGGCCTCGCAAAGTTGCGCAACTGCACATCCTTCAAATCAACCAGACTTTGTACGCAAACATTGCCATCCATGGATGACGTGGCGATATGGATGTTGTTGGAAGGGGAGTTCGGGATTGGATGCGGCTCTCTTGATCGGCGCGAAGCAGCTGCTGGAGAAGCCTCTGAATGTCGTGATCCCGGCCTTGGCACAGCCGTCGTGTTCTGGGAGGCGCCTTTCATGATTGTCTCGGTTTTCACTGTTGGTAGTGGCGGGGGATAAGGAGATATCGAGATCGCGGTAACAGACGCCGAGTGTGCGTGGTAAACGCGAAGGGTCTGGAACATTGGTAATTGTATAACGTGCTGCGTATGGTTAGAGCAAAATTGGATCCACGCATTATTACACTTACTATGTTGCCGTTATGTGTTCCAATGATCTTGAGCAGATAATATTAGCAGTAATACGAAGCGCTGCTTGTACAGTACACTCACCATCTTGTCGCCAGCCACCAGGAAAGCGCTTGTAGCGTCGCCATTGCGATAAACAGGACCCAGATGTTGTGTCAAGCGAGCGTATTTGAGTCTCGGTTCTTCGTCCTCCTCATCTTCGTCTTCCTCATCGTCCTCATCCTCGTCTTCCTCCTCATCCTCGTCTTCGTCTTCGTCTTCCTCGTCCTCATCTTTGTCATTCTCGCTGTTTTTGTCATCCTCTTCGTCGCTATGAGCATCTTCTTTGGCGGTTAATCTCGATGTTGAGGCCTCAATATTGGTGCCAACAGAGTCGACAATGTCACCGGCCCGACCTTTTCCCTTATCCAAATGTTTGTCCTGATCAGTGTTCGGTTCGGCTTGTGGATTGGCGTCCATCTGAGGAGTACCGTCATCCCGGCTAACGGGCGATACATTCGTCATTTTGTCGATGATACGGAATGCAAGAGTGTTATCATGTTGATGTGGTATTCAGGCTGGTTTATACGATTCCTGATCCTGCCCAAGTCTCATGATTCTGAACTGGCAGCTCTGGTTGAAGTACCTACGTAGGTAGGTAGGCAAGGTTGCGGCTTGTTTTGACGTCACGTTCATTTCGGTTGAGTGGCCCAAGCTTCCTGTTCTCTCTTGCTGCTGCGCCGACTCGGCTACCGTACTTAGGTCAGCATTGAGAAGACTGGGGCGTCGTCGAGCTTCCGGACCAATGAGAGGCACCCCCACCACCCCGCAAGCTCCCTTACAGACTGATGGATAGGAAGTAAGTCAGGAAGCAGCAGTCGCGTGTTGAACGCGATCCAAAAAAGAGCATCATCGATTCACCACAACAACGTCGGAGCACGAATATCGAATTGAGACGTACTTTTCGATTCCCAAGTCTCCTGAATTATCTGACGCTCATATCCGACGCTGCTTATGGAGCCCATTCACCATGGCGTCGGTAAAGTCTCTGGGACTGCACCAACCGACCGCACTACATCGTACAATTGAGGAACTTGGTCTTCCGCAGAGCACCAACCTCTCTTCATTGCATTGGGAAATAAACACCGACAAGCGCGACACGCCAGCTGTTGAAGACGAAATCCTCGTGACCAAGACGTGTGTCGTATGGAGCCGAGGTGGAATATTCCGAAAGTCTTATAAATTCGACCTCGAGAACGAACCCATCACTCAGGCACTGCTGGCATACTTCCCCGCGTATGATGAGCTGCGGAAGCCCAAAAACAAGAAGAGGTCTTCAGTACCACTGGAAACCTCCAAGAAGCCGTCCAAGGCTCTGATCGTATTTCTCAAAACCCAAGCCCACCTTCATTTTATCTCAGGGGCCAGCCATGTCATCCATATGCCTTTCGAGGTTGAGGCCGCTTGCGCTGCGCCGCAGGGCGTCATCATACAAAGGAAGCATCACACTGAGAACAACATACCGGTATCACTTAAGTTCCCCAGGGTTCCCCCAAACTCGTTCGTTTCCTCTCAGATCACAGCTCCATCTCTACGGGGTTCACAGCAAACCACTTTCTCGATAGAGGGCCTGGGAAACCCCAGAAGCCTGCCTCTAAAGCTGGGTTCGACACTAGAAGATATATGGGAGGTCCCCTTGGGGAAATCACAATCTAAGTGGCCGAGGCTGGTGACTCTGATTGACCCACTGCAAGATATTGGTCTCGTCGTTACAGATTCTCAATCAGCGCAACGGGCAGCGACAAGAAGAGGAACTTCCAAGTCGCCATATCTTCTAGACCCCGCCGAAGAGATCCTTCACATCGAGGAAATACAGCTTCCAAGCTCACTACAGCCGCCAGAAAACGACCCACTTATCCTCGCCGTTACAGTCAATAGAGAAGCAAATACGTACACATTATGGAGGTTATCGTACAACAAGACTGGCGATAATCCTGTACATGGGAGCAAGAAGAGCGATATCACAGCAAACAGACGCCGCAGCTCGATGCAGCCACAGTTCGCCAGTGGGGCTTCTACACCGATCCAGGTTAACTTCCGGGAAAGCTTTGGCGCGCCCTTGCCAGGGAAGCGGCAGAGGAAAAGCGAAAGACTTGAGAGGTTTGAGAGGACTGAACAATCGGAAAAGTCACTTGATCTTGTTAGCTCTCTGAATGCAGATAAAGACGGAGGCGTCACTCGAAGACAGTCACGCAGAGTCAGCTCCATGTTAGCTCGTGCTGATCTTTCCGCGTCACAAGAACGATCCGCCTTTTCAGAACAGCAGCTGATGCCAAATCTCGGCAGCTCGATGAGGGACTCTTTTAGCAACCAAGGAGGCCGCCACTCTCTCAACTACAACCAGACCATCCACCCTAGCTTAGGTAGCTTACTCGAGGCTCCCATCGACAATGTTCTTGACGAGCTGCGAGCAGGAGGTGACTTTGAAGGCTTTCACAGCATGGGTCTTGACGATCACGACTGTGACGGACTGGCACAAGAAATGGTGTTTACCAAGGTTCACACCATTGATATTGACAGCTCTAATGTTCGTTACTCCGTATCGAGTCAGCCTGCGCGGTACCAGAGCAGTGTTTTTATTCTTTCGAGCCCCAAGCTCTCCGTTGATGATAATCGGAGAAGCGAGCTCATTCTTGGCATCCAAGATGCAGTGGACAAGAAGTTGCAACTTCTCACAATCGACATACACAAGAGTGGGCAATTTCTCGTTCCCCCCCGATCAGCCAAACTTCCTGAAATTCACTCGAACACCCTTCGAGTTACCTGTGGCCAGCTACGACGAGCACATCCCGTTGTTGATGCTTGTAAAGTTGTGGACGGCGATCTTTCGGCGATACTCATATTATCCGAAGGCAATGATGGACGACGCGAGCTCAGTATTCAGGCACCATGGCTGGAGAAAACACCCATTACTCTTCCTCGATTGCTACTCGAGAACGAGCGCAGCCTACAATATATCGGTCGTGTCATCGATCGAGATGTACGACAGCGAAGGTCCGAAGCACTGGATACGGCGAATGGCATCATCCGTGCTCTTCGATATTCTCGCATGGGTGGCATCGTAGATGTTGTGGACGCTGAGAGGCGTCATCACCAAATCCAGATTCAGCTGCAACCCCGCAATCCTTTGGCTCGCAAGGTTCTTGATGCATGCCGCAGCCTCCTCCCCTCGTCTCAATCCAAGAAAATGTTACCAGGCTGGTGGCAAGCCATGATGTGGCTACAGGCAGAAGATATGCAGGTGGCGGATAACGAATGGTCGGCCCTCGTGATTCACATCCTGTCTATCTTCCTTGTCTTGGGAGGCGCTGAGGCAGCTGTCCCGGCTCCGCGGAGGCCGGTCAAGGGTCGCAGACGACCCCCTTCAGGCTCATTTGGTTCCATGAACAACATTGAGGAATGGCGCTCACTGCAGCTGCATGAGACACCCAATGCCCTTGGCTGCCCGGTATGGCAGCAGAACAGAGGCTGGGACTGGACTGCGGACCATGACGATGATCTAGACACCAAGGGCGACTTTGTTGATTGCAAATTTCTGCCAACGCACATTCAGTATACCCAAGCATACCTCTCATCAAGCATCGAAGGGGATGTACCAAGAACTGGATATGCGTTATCATCAGCAATCCTCCAGAATACAGAGGATTCGTACAGTGCAGTCTGGACCTTTTTCACCGGACTACACCTTCTACTCGAAGAACAAAAGCTGGATACTTCCACTCCAGAATATGCAACCCCTGGTATTGCGGAGCTTCGCGTCTTGATGGCGCAGATTGCACGCTGGCTAAGGTGGCACGAATATGCCTCCTATTACGAGATGGGTCTTCAAGAGGAACTGGAAAGTCGATATGATAACGGTACGTCTTTGTAACTGTCATGCTTGACTATTGCTTACTTGTCAGTTCTCGCTATCGAGATACCACAGCCGCAGTGGATGGGCAAGTCCTATGATGTTATTGAATGGATTAACACCAACCTCACTCGTGGTGACAGGACAGATTTCCTGACACTAGCTTTTGCACGCCAGAAAGGGGTGCCAGACTCTAGTCGACAACCTCCAACGGATACACGGTGGGACTTGATGACACCGAGAACCCATATGTTCCAGGGCTTTTTCTCCAAGCTTCGCGCGAGAAACGATGCGGTTGGGATTGTTGAGGCCATGCATAGCTCGGGAATTGATGTCCGCGTGTTGGAAACGCTACCGGAGGCCGTTTTGACGCCCCTGCGTGACGCTATAGCCAGCTGCCAGGCACGACCTCCGTCCTCATGGTCGAAGGACATGCTGAAGCTGGTGAGTCGCAGCGACATCACCCTCATGTACGAACCTAGCATGAAGCTCCAACAACGACCGTTCAACATAACAGTTCGTTCTTTATAGCCCTCAAGCCTTGCTGGTTTTGCTAACCCTCTGCAGGCCCCCATTCACATCGCCTCCTGGGATTTCCGGACCATATGCCAAACTCTTGATGAGTTCATCTCTGCCGGCTATGATGATGGCGAGGGTACGGAGAGACAAGCAGTCATCAGAGCTTTGTTCAAGGAGGACCGACGCCTCAACGAAGCGCAGGACCTCCTGTCCACCCACAGACCACGTATCGTCCGCCTAGACTCTGAGCCTGGTTGGACCGAGAGTCAATATCTCGAGAAGCAGAAAGAGCTTGTCTCGAGGGTTGCTACAGGCACGTTGGCAATTCCAGCTGGTCGTGCCCTTCTTTATTATGGCCTACGATATCCCTTGTTGACACAAAAGTTCCACATCGGAGGCTTTAACCTCAATTGTATCGTGCGTCCAACGAATGTCACTGTGGGCGTGGACAGATCACAGTTCACAGAGGAAAAGGTCTGCTGGGGCTTCTTCCACCAAGGGGTGGCCGCCGGCTTGGCTATATCCTCACAGGCTAAAGGCATCGATACATCCTGGATTTTATACAATAAACCTGGTCAGGATCTCAACAATCGCCATGCAGGGTTTTTGTTAGCTCTTGGTCTGAATGGTCACCTCAAAGACGTTGCGAAATGGGTCGCTTTCAAGTATTTGACACCAAAGCACACCATGACCTCGATTGGGCTGCTTCTTGGACTTGCTGCGTCGTACCTAGGTACTATGGATTCTCTCATCACACGTCTCCTGTCGGTACACGTTACGCGTATGCTTCCACGTGGAGCAGCCGAGCTGAACATCTCGCCCCTGACCCAGACGACCGGCATCATGGGCATCGGTCTTCTCTATTGCGGTAGTCAACATCGGCGGATGAGCGAGATCATGATGTCCGAGATCGAGCATGTTGGTGAGGACGAAAGCCCTGAGCCCCTGAGGAGTGAGTGTTACCGCCTCGCTGCTGGGTTTTCGCTTGGGTTCATCAACCTTGGTAAAGGCAAAGACCTCAAGGGGCTCCATGATATGAGACTCACCGAAAAGCTCATCGGCATTGCAACGGCGAACAAGAAGGTTGAGATGGTGCAAATTTTGGATCGTGCTGCTGCAGGCGCAGTCATGGCTCTCGCCCTTATCTTCATGAAGTCGGAGGACCACATCGTGGCGCGTAAGATCGATGTGCCGGAATCGGTCGTACAGTTCGACTACATCCGTCCAGACATCCTTCTCTTGCGTACTGTTGCCAAGAATTTGATTCTTTGGAGCCAGATTGAGCCTTCATTCGAGTGGATCGCGCAAAGTTTACCCACGCCGTTCCGCTTCCGCCATAGATTGACCGGCACTATAGTCTTGAGGAGCACCGATCTCCCTTTTTTCAGCATCCTCGCAGGTCTTTGCTTCTCTCTAGCGTTGCGGTTCGCCGGAAGTGGCTCGCTGAAAGCTCGCGATATCCTCATTCATTACCTCGATCAGTTCATGCGTATCTCGCGTATTGTCTCTACGAAACGAGTTCCACAATTCGATCGGCCAATTTACGATGAGGAGCTTGCACGATCAAACGCACGTATGTGCCAAGATATCCTCGCTCTATCGGCATCCATCGTCATGGCTGGCACAGGTGATTTAGTCGTGCTGCGACGCTTACGATCTTTACATGGTCGTAATGACTCCAGCACTCCTTATGGCTCGCATCTGGCAGCACACCTTGCTATTGGAGCACTGTTTCTTGGTTGTGGGACAACAACGTTCGGTACCAGCGATCTTGCTATCGGTTGTCTATTGGTAGCTTTCTACCCCGTGCTCCCAATATCGGTGATGGACAACCGCGCGCATCTGCAAGCTTTCCGTCACTTCTGGGTCCTCGCAGCCGACCCGAGATGTCTAGTGGCTAAAGATGTCGCAACAGGACAGCCTATCAGCGTTCCTGTCCATATACGCATGAGATATCCCGCGGCTCACTCGTCATCATCAAATCCGGACCACGACGTTCTAATTCGTACCACCCCCTGCCTATTACCACCACTGTCAGATATCTCGTCTCTTCGCACTAATGCTGGTCCGGACTTTTGGGATGTGGAACTGGACTTGAAAAGCGATGCGGCGCTTATGACAACGATTGCCAAGAACCCGAGCCTATTCCTCAAGAAACGTCCTCCTCTCGAGGCTCCTTTCTCTGCTACGCTCCGTGCACTGGGGCGCAGCTCCTTGGCGGACGCCACGCATGGCGGGGGCCAACACGACCCTTTGGTGTGGATCTTCCGCGCCGAAGCATTGCAAGGCCTCTCTCATGCTGAGCAAGGGCTCGTGCTCGATGGTAACGCTGCTATGGACGGGAGCGTGACCGTTACTTCTGCTGTTGATACACGCCTCGTTCTGGAACAAAGTGCCAAAAGCTTTTCACGGGAGAGATTGCAAGGGCTCAAGCTCTTATTCGGATGGGCGGATGTTCGAGATCGAGTGGAACCCCGGAACGTTGCGTCTGCTGTTGTCAATGGGTTACAGACACCAGGGCAACGGCAGGAGGAATATGAAGGCGGGGAGGCTAAGGAGGCTAGGGGGGAAGGCGAAGGTTGGTGGATACGGAATAGTGTTATTGAGGCTCTCAAGGGACAGGTCTTTCTTGCTGCGAGAGAAAACATCACGGTCTAACACCCATCGCCGGAATTTGGGCAGAACGAAATCCCCAATATCCCAACTTCTTCACAATGACGCGCGAGGAATACTTATAGCAAGCTAGGAGCACAATTCTACTTGCTTTACATCACTTGAAACTCATGATCAAACGTACCTTGCACGACGCATCGTCTTGGTATTAAATCATTCCATTTCTACAACCTAAAACAATAGCCGGCGGGGCAAACAAGAGATAAGACGTACTTGGCCATGCGCGCGTACGCGCAACGACCTAGCCGATGAGCAGGGAACTGATCATTTATGCTAATCATGCCCTTACCTTACCCGTGTAGGTGACTGATCCTCACCGACATCTGCCCGCCGTCCCTTTCGTACCCGAACGCCATGCCATGTGATGTAAGCAAGTCATTTTAGGCTTGCCTCCCGTCTCCGCCTCTCCACTTTGAATTCGTCATTCACCCTGGTGTCAGACACCGCTTTAGAGCATCCGGATGAAAGTATGCTCGCGCACGCTGGCTGAGGGCTCCAAGACATGGTAGTCTCGTGGCAGCTGCGCGGACCCCTTGGCACACATTGTGCTGATGTGATGCTAGTGGAGAAATCATCGTTCACGACTTGGAAACAGCGGCATTGAGTACCTGCGTCCGGAAGAAGCCACCCTTCGTCTTCTCGATAACCTGTTGGTAAACATTGTTAGGCGGGTGGTTCATGACAACAGTACCCTCGCGCGAGTCGATCTTGGCATCGAGGCGGGTTTCGCGAATGAGATTGACGATCCACTTCTCGCCGTCATCGGGGTTGAGGCCAAGCTTGGCAGAGAGGTCGCGGATGTTCATCCGGCTAAAGATCTTGCAGTAGCTCTCGCAAATGAGGTGGCGCGCAGCGTCGACAAAGGCATCCGCTGTCGCGCCGAGGAAGAAGTCACCTCGGCAGACCTCCTCCGCACGGGCGAGGGCTTCGCGAGCGGCGTTGAAGTCGTGAGCAATGTAGAGAGCCGAGATGAATTCAGTGATAGGGTCGCTATACTCGTAGGCTTCCTGCCGAACATAGCGTACGACATCCTTCATCTGCTTCTGGTGCTGGCTCGAGTTGCGGCTGCGGGAGCGACCGGTGATAACGGCGGCAATCAGGTATCGCAGAATCCAGGGGCACGACGTTTGGATTGTGTTGATGAAAGGGGCAGTGAAGAAGAGGTCGAGAATGGGCTCGCGCGCAGCTTCAGAGTTGAAGAGAGGGAAGAGAGCCCAGTGGACCAGCATGGTGCGGTGGTCAAGCTGAGCGCGGGGGTTGCTGAAGAGTTTTGTGTCGATGCTCTCTTTGACTTTCATCAACTCCTCAACAGCCGAGTCCCAATTCGTCGTCAGAATCTCGGATGCCAGTTTTCCCCATGTCGCCTGTGCCACCTTGTCGTTATCGGTGGAGAGAACGCGGAACTGATAGAGCAAGTCTGCGGCAGCACCATAGTTGCCGCAACGGAACTGAAATTGGCCAAAGTCGTACAAAGAATCGACCATCTCAATAGTGACCTAAAAAAGAAGAATGAGAATTTCCCCTTATCGTCAGATTGCTTCACAGACACACCTCGTGGTCCTTTTTCAAGAACTCTAAGTTGGCCACCTTGTCGCTGCGCAGCTGTCCCACGACATCCTCGCGTGTCAGGAGTTCCGAGATGCGGGCCGTCTCCTGCTCGTACTTCTCAAGCTGGGCAATGACATCGTTGCGCTTCTTGGCGTACTCGGCAGGCGCCTCGTTCACATTGTGTACTTCTTTGTAGAGTTCGGCGACGTAGTCGGCCATGTTGGTGTCCTGCAGCAGCTTGAGTTTGCCGTTCAAGATCTGCCTAGCCTTCTCCTCATTTCCGTTGTCCTCAGCTCTACCCGCCTCGAATTCGACGAGTGGAAACAGCAGATGTCTGCTGAGCTGCGAGGCAAGCTTGGGGAGGATGTTCTCGCCATCGAGGGCTGCATAAATATCCTCCATGTTGGGCCGATATACGTGGGTTCGGGAAAGGTCTTTCGTCCTGTGAAAAGAATCTTATCGGTCGGGAGGAGGGGAACAGCGTCGGTGACGGTCGTCGCTTGCAGTGGACAAATGGCGATCCTGCTGGCGTCGTCGTCTGAGGAGGGGCAGAGACTGAGTTTTGGGCCTTTTTTTGACAAACGCAATATTGGTGGGGGTTCGACTGCGTGCCGGTGTTTCTCCGGGCTCTGTCAATCTTAAAGTGGGGCAACGGAGTGCTCAGGTAAGGTACCTGGTAAAGGAAACATGATCTTATTTGCCGGTGTTCAACCGGCGCGGTCCAGTGTAGAGAAACTTCTTAGATCGACCGCAACGAGTTGAACCTTGATCCCGTCGTCTGCAATCTTCCAGTACCCGGGTTACGGCATACCTCTCCCGTCGCTATGAGCGCCTTAATCGCCAGGGCGCTCCGAGCCCGCTCCCCAGTTATCTCTCCTTCCCGGACCGCCTTCTTCGTCCGCCTTGTCACCACGGTTCATGAATCATCAACCTCTATTGCCGTTGAGACCACGATCCCTCCCTCCAAGCCTATGACAGGTTCAACAATAGTCCGGAACGCCACCGAATTTTCGAAGACCTCTGAACGAGCCTACCTTGTCGACCTTACCCCATCCAAGAACTACCCTGTGTATCCTCGCACTAAATCTGCCGGGCAATCCAAGTTTACGGTCATTAAGCGCATTGCGGGTGACAAGCGTGCCTTTGCACAGGACCTCGCCAATGCCACAGGTCTTCCGAGGGAGGATATCACGATATCGCCTGTGACGGACCATGTTCAAATTAAGGTGGGTTATAGTTCTTAACACTGAAGGCATAGTCATAGCTAACAACATCAGGGTCTGCATGTTACAGAAATAAAGAAGTGGCTTGCTGACGAGTTTGGCGATCCTCATAAGCCCACGACAAGTTTTGAGGTGTCGTCGCCTTAATAAAATGTGGGTTAAGCATATGGAGAAGTGAATACACCACGCTTTCATCAGTCGTAAATGTTGAAAGGCAAGACATCTGAGGTCTGGGCGGTCCTTAGAGGGCCAGAAAGTTGACTTGTTGAGACATTAGACTACACCTGCAGAGACAATAATCTTTGGTGTTGTTCGATTAGACAACCGTAGACTGTACATTAAATGGGAACAGGATGGGAACAAGATTTGCATGTGATGTGATGGTAGATGACATGAAACACTTTAAGGGTATGTTCTATCGAAGCCTGGCCTTTGATGGTTATGCTGTAGAAAAGAGCCTGTGCACAACCCATTGCGCCGTCGTCCTACAACTCGCTTTAACAACTTACAACAAGAGATACAAGATACAACCTGGGTCAGCCAAGTATAATTCGCACCACAATTGATGTACATCCGCGCCTTTTTTTCTTCTTCCCCAACTCTACTTCGCTGTCAGCCTTCGCAAACCCCATATGTGCCCATGGCTGCGCCATGTAGGAGGCACTAATTGGCCACAACACCTCGGCTTATCGATGCAGGTCGGCATACGCCGTCAAGTCCCGGATAATCCCGTCCCGTGCCCATTCCGATGACTTCATTGACATGATGCCGAAAACGCTTTCGGCCGAGGGCAGAGCGTTGGCTGGGAGTGCTGAAGGATCGGTTGGGTCGAAGGCGCGTTCCCCCAGTTTTCGCAAGAGAGACACGCTAAGTGCCACTATGTAGGGAAAGTCCTGGTCACGGCCGGCACCGGACTGTTCGTACTGGTGACTGAGAACTTGGACAAGGAAGTATAACGCCTCTGCAAAACCATCCCCGTTGGATAGCCAGGCTCTGGCGACACCGCTCTCGTAGCTTGGTGCCAGAGATGCTAGGATCCCTGCAGCCAACAGTCCCTGCATGAGCAATGGCGCGCGATTCTCGATAGCAATGCGCAGCTTAGGCGACATAACCGCCCGGTTCAATTGACCCTCGGATAATTGGATAGGAACCACTGAGATCGCCAGAGCGAACGTCTTGGTTAAAAGCTCATAGGGTGTCGTACTTCCAGCGTCCAGAGCGAATATAGTCTTATAAAATGTCCGATTAGGCTCATCGCGGGCGAGGAACTTGGCTAGAGCGTCGACGGCGTGGAAGAGATATGGTTGGAGCGCAGGTTCGAAAGGGGGGAAATACAGTCGATCGTCACGGATTGATGGCCCCGGTCCAGGTGCGAAAGCAAGCAAGAAATGCAGCAAGCAGAGCGCTTGCTCGCGCCCTGGGATTTCCACTGCACCTGCAATGTTGGATAACAGAGTAATTGCGTCCTTCATGAATTCCAACGTGTTGGCATGCGTCCGGAGCAGCATATTCCGAGTGCCGAGATAGCGTATCATATCACAGACGAGTTTAATGACAGACTCGTCTGCCAAGACTTGATGATTATGGTGCGGACCAAACGGCAGTTGTGGGGACGTACGTGTAGGCTCAGCTTCTGGTTCGAATGAGAGATTCCGTAGGATTGTGAAAATACACGTCAAGCGGTCTACGGCTCTGTCGAGCTCATACTCCGGGGTGGCGAATTCGGGAAGTTTGCGAACGTTTAGTCGATCAACCCAACAGGCTCGCGCAAGGTCTTCGTATGCCGCGAGTTGTATGTCGTCAGATACTTCGACTGTGTTCTCTGCAAGTTGCTCCAGCTGCTCCTCAGCGCATTCAACAAGTGCTTCAACAAGCTCCTCACACGACTTCAACTGAATGAAGAGGGGGTCTTTTGAGTCTTTTGGTGGAGTTTGTGTAACAGTAGCAAGCGTGTCGAGCGCCATGCGCACTTCACCATGAATTCCCGACTCGATACTGCGCGTCAAGGCTTGGAGATCGACCAGGCCCAGCTCCCATACACTTGGAACATCAGGCTTGAGCTGTTCAATCACCATGCCTTTTATATCGACTTGGGCCAGCTTGAAGCCTCCAAATGCATCAGGCTGAGGGAGCCGAACATCACCGGGGTATGCATCTGAAGCTGCCGCAAGACGAACAAGCTTTGGCAAGTTCGTCTTGCCAGAAGAGCGTGAGGGTCCAGCAAGTGCGTCGGACTGTGTAGGGAGAGGTGGGGTCTGGTCGGCATGCGCAGGCGTTGCAGCTGGGAACGGCCCAGGTGCATTCAATTGGCCTACGCCCAAGACCGGCTCAATGCCTCTCGGGAGGCTATTCCGATGTTGTCCCGGCGTGCTGGTTGCAAGGCCTAACTGTGCCTGGCCTTGGTGTGCAGTGCTCCCGTTCATGCCCTGTGGGCCGACGAAAGTTGGTTGCTTGAGCTGCGCCTGACCTGACATGGAGCCTATGTGGGGTGGCTTTGGCTGTTGCGGTTGCTGCTGTGGTTGCGGAGTATGTTGCTGCGGCTGCTGCTGTTGCGGCAATGGTGATTGTGAAATTTGCGGCTGCTGTTGGTGTTGCTGCACATGTTGCTGTTGATGTTGCGACTGGGTGTTCGGTTGCTGATGCTGCTGCTGGTGAAGCTGAGCTACTGGCTGCTGCGGAGCCTGCGGAGCTTGCGGCTGTCCAGCCTGCATCATGCCTTGAGAAGCCTGAGCTTGCGGCGACATTTGCTTCGCGGGCGAGGGTTGTGGTTGGCCGCTAGGGACGGGTTGGGTTTGTCTACCCTGTTGCTGCTGCTGCATCATCCGCTGCTGGTTCTGCTGAGCAGTCCAGAATTCCTCGAACCGTAAGATATTCCTTTCGTACATATCTTTGAGCATGGACGGCGCTTGCGGTATCTGGACGGGATGGAATCCGATTGCGTTGGATACATGAGGCCATTGGTTGGAGGCAGTGGTGGACTTATAACCACCCTTACTCTGAACAGCCTGGAAAAGGTGCATTAAGTTAACCGGCCGGTTGCCAATGACGACATTTGTCTCCAGAGGTAAGCCTTTTGAATGCATGAACTTGGATAAGCTCTTCATGAACTGATCCTGACCCATGGGCTGTCGTGATTGAGGCCGTGTGCCCCCTTGCGGCATCTGTCCATTAGGCATGGGCTGCATCGGTTGCTTCGTCACCATGCCTCTTCCCTGAGACAGGTTTTGAGCCTGCATTTGGGCTGCCATTTGCATGTTCTGCTGCATACCAGGGTGCATGTTCTGCATATTCCCCTGCGCTTGGAGTTGTTGTTGTAGTCTAGCTTGATACGCAGCCATTTTTTGTTGTTCCATGGAATTGCGTCCTTGCAAATTCGGGGGAAACATCTGATTCGGTATCTGTCCCATCTGTTGCGGCATCTGGCCGCCCATCTGCTGCTGCTGCTGCTGCTGCTGCTGCTGCTGTTGTTGTTGTTGTTGCTGCTGCTGCTGCTGCTGCTGCTGTTGCTGTTGCTGCTGCTGCATCATTCCTGTCATAGCATTGGGGTTCGGCGAAGGACGCGCAGGTGAAGGTGTTGGCGTGAAGTTCTGGTTGAAGCCTGGCGGCATGTTCTGCATGTTCTGCATATAAGGATTTGGTTGCGATGTGCTGCTGTGTTCGGATGGTACCGGAGATGCTTGTGGCCCAAATTGCTGTTGAGTGCTGGGAGAAAAGGGATGCGGCGACGCAGTCGCGACTCGCTGTGGGACGCTTCCCGGTCGCATGTTGCTCCCCATAATAGGCGACGGCGTTGCGTTAGCGGAACCGTTTGGCTGCAGATGGTTATACGGCGATGGCTGCGGCTGGCCAGGATTCTGCTGCTGGTGCTGCTGCGGCATGCCACCAGACTGGTATCCGGGAAATTGCTGGGGAGTATCAGAGCGCGAAGTCGGTAGCATGCCTGGGTTTTGTCGCGGCGACCCAGCAAGGCTGTCTTCGCGAGGGCGAGGTCGCTTTGACGGAACAACGGGGTTGGTTTGATAGGCGGGATTCTGGAAAGAGGGAGAGGCGTTGCGCATTTGTCCGTTCTGCATGGCGACTAGCTGCTGCTGCTGTTGCTGATGCTGCTGTTGCTGCTGGGCGCTGGCAAATTGCGAGGGATTAAATTGGGCAGGATTGCCCATAAAGGCGGATGGATCCATCGTGGCAGAAGAGGGATTGGCGCTGAAATGGTTCATGCGAGGATGGCCTGCGCCGACGATATGGCCATTGGCCTTGGGATCGATGTGGAGGAGGTTATGGTTGGTGGAGGCAGCGTCGTTGATCCAGGCGCTCAGAGTAAGGCTGATGCTAAGCAACCCATTGGCAGCTGGGTACGTCTTCGGCAGTCAGCGGCGCGAAAATGGAAAACCAGGATGCAAGTGGGATGAAAGCGATGATAGGCGACGAGGGAAATGATGGAAGTCGCACGGAGGTGGGCTGTCGCGATGGACGCGACGCGATGCTTGGGGGTCAGGTGTGTGGGTGTGGGAAAACAGGTGGGTGCTTTTCAGTTCCAGCCTGGCCAGGGAGGGGGGTTTGGTTGTGTGAGGAGAAAAAGAGCGTAGGCCCGTGGCCAGTCAGATGATAGCGCAGTGATGACCAAAAAACTGGCACCGGCCACGTCGAGAACAACGTTGCGATGGCTTCAAAGCAGACGAAGGGCGCCACGAGGAGAGGGATGGCAGAATAACCAGCAGGGCAATGGATTGTATCGGGCCGGGGGAGTCGGACACTGCGAGATTGGATGGATTCGGAGGGGGTGTGATGGACGCGAGGGATGACAACGAGCAAAAGTCGCGTGTCGGGGCAGTAGCTTACCTCAACAGGTGGACTCTGGAGCGCAACAGCGACAGAAATGGGTGGATGATGGGCGCGCAAATGGGCAACGGCGAGGACGACTGATGAACAACACCTGAAACGCTTGGTGCTTGTGCCAGTCTTCCAAAGTGTCCCTGTAATTGGTGCCTGAGGCCTCCACCCGTTGACTTGAACGGAATGAAGCAACGAGGGAGGGGGATGGACACAGAATCAAGCCAGGCAGCAGGGAGGGCTTTTCGTGTCACCCTTCCTTAAGGTGCCTAGGTACCTACTTAGGTAAGGTACTTAAGGTACATAGGTAAGGTACCTATGTAGGCAGTTTCAGGCCGCATCAGTGCAATCCAAAAGGGGACTGGTCTATGTGGATAGCGTGGAAGCTTGTGGGCCAATCAGCTATGAGAGTCGTAGGGCGGCAGGGCGGCTAACAATTGCGTCTGCATCTTCAGGCTCACTCTATGGGTTTGGAGTAGGCATCGTACAGACACGACGATGATTAACGAGATCGATACCTAGTCTCGCCAGCAAAAGCACCCGGATAACCATATACTTACCGTCAGGCGTAGCACAGCCCCTGGCAGCCACCAATTAACAAAAGTTTAGCATGAGAAAGCCTCGAATGTTACGTGTCCTAGTTCTCCTCCGGGTTAAGTTTATTGTCCCGCAAGGTAATCCATCGTCTTCAAGTGGGTTGGCGGGATTACCTCTTCATTATCTGGACAACTGAGCGCCTTCCTGGATAGTTTCTTGGCTTGTGTATCCGAGTTCCCATAATGCTTTCTCTCGTACACAGCAACCGGCTAAGATGATACGGCTTGCTTGCTTTAGGCCAATTGTTTTGGACCATCGGTAGCTATGAAGCTTCTTCTCGGCTTGCAAGATATCACCTGTCACGGGCGCCGCTACTCTTTTCATTAGATGCATGCAGAGTGGCTTGATTGTAAGGCTGTATTTCTTTCCATCCACAAGAAATACACCTTTAAAGTCACTTGTTCAAGTGATCCGTGGTACTACTGCAAACGTCTTTTACGCTTTCAACCGTAATCACCTGGGGTGTTCTAATAGAGCTCTCCCGATAGCCTCCACAAAAGATTAAAGTGGAGGGTTGATTTGCTGTGCTGTCGCATATATATACTATCTTGAATCACCTATAACTTGCTAATTCGATAAATGGTGGTCGCTGTTACGTCGCGTCTATAACTCCCTGGGTAGGTACTTAGCCAGGCATCCAGCCCCAGTGTTAAAGAAGAGAAAAAACAACGAAGTAAACAACTCATTGACGCTTTCTCTTGCGATGTGATAATCTACCAACCAGCCCCACCTCAACCTATGAAGAGATTCTATTATTCCGCCCGCATATCCATCAAAGACGCGCCAAGGCTCAACTTTCCATGCTTCATGGCCCATAGAAGAAGTTACAGCAACCTTCTGAGTGCCGACCGTGCCAACCGTGCCAACAGAATGACACGTGGACGCAGCTTCTCGAATGTGACGAGAAACATGACCGTTTCTGCTGCCAGCAGAAAGTCTTTGAAGAGAGAAACGAGCAAGGCTGACAAAGCCTTTCTCTGGGACAACGGCGTGAAAATTGAGCGCAAGGCTGGACAATGTCTTCTGTGGGTTCTGAAGGCTTGCCCGCATCGTACTATTCAGGGCAGACGTGCCGGCTTCTCAATCGATGACTGCGGTGATGAGCCGCTTGCCGTCGAAGGTCTGTACTCAGTTGTTGACTATCGTTTTCTCACCAGCTGTCTGTGGCTGAGCTGACGGCAGTTGCCTGCAGGTATCCGGTCGTACCCCTCTCAAAGTTTGATGCGGCAGATGAAGGTAGGTGACAGGGTCCTCATCTTACACGCGGCCTCGGACAGCCCTTCTATTGCTGGCATCGTCACCGTTTCCAGGGAGAAGAGCCCTGACTGTGAGTCTGCGACCCCAAGGCACGGCCCTGCCAGAATGACTTTCAGCTGACTTGACCATTTCAGATTCAGCATGTGACAACAATTCACCCTACTACGACATCCGTCAAGGAAACTGCTACGCCCGCAACGTCGACATCGACAGGCTTGATTTTATCAGTATTCACGTTACACTTGAGCGTAAATTCAACAGCCCAGTCGGGCTCGGGCGCATCCGCAGTGCCCAACACGAGCACATCTTTGACAGCATGCAGGTGCTGAAGCAGCCCCAAATGATTGTCAGCAGCATTGGCCAGGATGCTTGGGATGCCATAGTGGCCATTGATGCTGCCCAAAGCTTTATGAATGCAAAGGAGCCTACCTTATAAGGGCCCTGGTTCTGCGAGGGCAACCACGTAGAGTATGGTTGGACACGAACGTCGTCTTTTGAACCCTCGGCAAGTCTGGCACCAGTCGCCAGGGAGGATATCGACACAACGCCTTCCTTCATCACCGCAGCCATCATTGGGCGCATAAAATGGTCAATAACTAGAAAAGCCGCGGCGAACAATGAGGTACACTACATCAGATCTGTCTGTAAAATACTATAACAGGCAAGCTCCAATGGTCATAATGCTATGCAAGCAACTTCGCCTTGGTATGCTCCAGGACCACCCGAATGCCTTCGTCCAAATCTTCCAAACCAAGAATGGGCTCTATCCACGCAGTTGTTTTCGCCTTCATCAGGGTAGACTCTGATGTTGCTTCCAAACCGACCTTGAGTCGGGACAAGGCTTCTCGAAGACCGCGGGGGAAGTCGGGCCGTGTAAGGATTGATGCCCACCAGTGGAAAGCGTGTGTAGCAGCTCCATGTTGAAGCCGCTGTCTGGTGGTCCTCTTGCATGGCTGCAAGCACATGTTGGATGAGCACAGATTGCGCGACACCTTGGTAAAGACGCGAACAGTGAAGAAAAGCTCGGCAGTTGCGTCGGTTGTAGAACGGTGGTTTCCCTGACATGGTTGAAAAA